TTGTATGCAATCTAGTCTCTCAGTTTTCGAGATATCCGGATCAAATTTGGTAGGTGGGTGTATTTTTATAATGTATTAATCATTTGTCGGAACCGGAAGAATCGGACCACTATAACATATAGCTCCCATACAACTGATTGTTACCTCTGATTGTTTAGATGCGATTTTTTATATAAGTATGTAACTCCTCTATCGATGTATGCAGATGTATTCAAAAGCAGTAATCTGTCAAAGTAAAATTTGCAGATGTTCATGAAAGGTATGAAGCCTTCGGCATAGCCGAAGATAGCGCTGCTCTTACTTGTTTTAGTATAATTTAAATTTGAAATGTTCTTAGGTTACCTAACCAATTGCTTGATTAATATATATGTACGCAATACTTCTGGAGTAAAATATGAGCATCATGAGCATCCTCTAAATTTATACTTAGAAACGTAAGGTTTGGTACCAGCAACGCTTTCGGCAAGAGGGAAAATATTGAAAGGTGCCCCAACCCTGTCTTTGGACCGCTCTAATGTACATACTCGTATATAATAATTCATGCTATGGTTCTGTTATATCTCCTTCATATTACCACACGGGTAAAATCATAGTTGAAGATGGCTTAAGTACGAGTGAAAAGAATTTTAAATCAAATAAGGAAGGCTTTCGAATTTTAACTTTTTTATTTTTTCGCATTTCTTAAGTTTCTAACTGGAACCTCATTAGCCCAGCAATAGGCACTGCGACAAACTTTTCAGCCACACTTGCAACTGATTTTAAAGGTTGCAGGGGCTACTGCAAAGAGAAAGGCGAATTCATACAGGGTGATAGCAAAAAACTACACCAGCAAATTATGCTCACGATGACAATCAGATCACAAAAAAATTTAAAACAAACACATAATTTGGAAAATCAGCAAAATTCGCCTTGAAATCAGCTGCTCCGTTAACACCACCTTGAATAAATTCGCCTTGGAAAGGCTACTTGCTACGACATTTAGCTACATTTTTGAATAAAAAAAAACAGAGATATTCACACCTGCTAGGTTATTAGGTTAGTTGGTTATACATTTTTGTTATCCAGTAGATTATTCTTGCAAATTTAATAAAACATATAAATATATAGTCTGATAACCTGGCAGTAGCGAATAGTTACACTTTTATTTCACTTTGAAAAGGTTTTTTTTTTACTTTTTTCTAATAAATAAATAATAAATAAATGAATAAGCAAAGAAAAAAGCAACGATTTTTGCTTAATTTTACCACTTAAAAATATTAAACACTGTCTATGACGTTTAAATTGAATTATTTTGTTTTTAAAAGTGTGTGATTGCATTGATTTATCAGTAAATGTATGGTAAATATTTTCAACATTTAATAATTCGCAAGAATGCGGCTTTCTTCGTTTTAATTACACAATTCACATATCAAAATTTTTTTTTAAAGTATTTAAGAACACCAACCTGCTGGTTTTTTGAAAAAAGTTTCACGTTGAGTAAAATTTAAAAAAATTCGTAATTTTTTTCTTATTGGAATGAACTGCGAGATCAGCGACGTTCAACGATCGACGATATGGCGCGAAACCGAAAGTTGATAAAGGCAAAGACGCAGGATATAAAACTAGGAACACGACTATGTAGCGCAATGTATATATGTAAGTGCGAAGGAAACTTGAAAATCTCTAAGCGACACGAAATTCAACTGTTTGCGTTCTATTTAGAATAGTTTTTGAGAAATGAGCGCAAACGTTGCTGGAATGCAACTAAACTTAAATTCGCTGTTTCAAGTTAATTTATAATAACAACAAACAAACTAAATTAGTATGCGGATATACTAAACGAACACACACATACATCATACATACATATGTACGTCCACGCGACGTATGGATGTGACGCTGCGGAACGCTAAACGCTACGAGTATGAAAGTACATACGTACCCTGCAGTGAAAAGCCAAATCAGTCAGTAAAAATACCAGCTAATTAACTAGTATGAGCTAAAGCGATAGTCGACTAGTTAGACAATTTCAAACCACTAATGCTATCAGCGACAACTGCTTTTGAATTGTCAAAGTCAAAGAGAAAACGCAATTAATTGCTTTTCTTACAAATATCAGCTGCAGCGTCGCGAGATGATTACCGCTTCAGGTTCAGAGATCGAAAGTTCGAATTCGTTGGGTGGTGGTAAAGATTTTTGAAATTAAATTAATGTAAGTTAATAAAATTATTTAATCATAAATTGAGAATTTTAAAATCTAATTTTCTTTGAGAAAAACGTATGTATGTTTTTAAATAAATACTTGTACCAAGCCATATTGAACAGATAGTAGCAGTAGAGCAGCTGATTTAATTTTTTTCAAATCATTTGGTCTCTAAAATATCAAATTATTTTAATTTATTTTTACAAAAATAAATTGTCAACATCTATTTGCATTTTGATCCTTTTTTCATACAAAAGTAGCGACTGAAAATCAGCTTTTGGTATGTTCGCCTAAGCCAGGAGGGAGCACAAACGCTGATTACTCCGCCTTGCAAAGGATGAATCAATGCTTCTGGAAGCAAACATAAGTATGTATTTACCAAAAAAGAAGTTGCAGCAGTTTTTTTTATTTAAAATTTAGAAAAAAAACAGAATACTTTTTTGACAATTTTGAGACCATAAACAACCACAAAATACACGTATATGTTGTATTTGCTCTAATGCTACTGCCTGTTTAATATGCCTTGACTTGTACGATAACAAAGAAATAAAATTCAAAAAATTATTTTTCTTTAAAAAGTATAAAATTTAAAAACTACTATAAAAAATTTTAAAATTTAAAAAAGATATATACTTAAGTACGTACATAAATAAATTCCCTGTCCGAAGACTTGAAGCTGGGAATTTTAAATGGCTGCACCTCAGGAATGGCACAGTAGTGCTTTGCACTGTCGGTCATTGAGACTGTTGGAGCGAGGCGAGCAAAATCATGGGGGATGAATTGGTCGACAATCCCATCAACTGCTATGATGGTACCGGTATTTCTACTTGTGGATGCTGATATGTACATAGCCAGACAATTGACATGCAAGTCGCTAACACTTGAAAAGGATAAAACGCGAACTGGGAGCATTCTGGTGCGCAACTGGTAACTTTCCCTAGAGGGTATGTATGTACATACATAAGTATGTATGTAAGTGTGTTTGTAAGTACGAGTACGAACGCTTGTTAGAACATTTCACTCTGCACTTCAAGTGCAAAGACAAAAATGGCAAATGCAAAAACAATAAACACACTTAAACTTATAAAAAAAAAACAAAAAAGTATAGTAACAACAATAAAATGCTTTTGCGCATATCTTCAAATGTTTAATAGTGGTACTTATCACGGCAATAACAATGGGAATCGACAAAACAAAAAATTTAAAATAAATGTGGCGTACAAGCATTAAAACGTCAACAGCGGCAGACGCATTGATAATAAGTACTCGTAGTGTTTGTATGTATTTATGTATGTATGTAGTTAGTTATTAGCCACCCCGCGCTGAAGAGCAGCAATGACAAAATCAAATAGAAAAATTAACTAAAAACAACAAAAAAAATGAAAGCAAAACAAACTATCAACAATCAGCAAGAATAAGGGAACACGCTGAAAATTGTGCAAAAGCAAGCGTGTGATTGTGTTGTGACGTTTACAAATTTCACGGTTGAAAATCTATTTTATCTGCCATCACTGTAGGTACAGTGTCATTAACAGTACCTATTTCTAAATATTTATTACTTTTATTTTATGTACGTAAGGGTTTATTATAGCTTAATATCGTATCCTTAAGTTTTTGGTTAATCTGGAACGGGACAAACCATTGAAATAAAAAAAAAATAAGTGATATAAAATAAGACTAGCAGACCCGGGGAGCTTCGTCCCGCCCAAAAAAATAACCTAACGAAAGAATTATGTCCGTGAAGAAGTTCTGGAAATTCTCCAATGATCTGGAGTTTCACAGCACGGTGTATCGCACGACGAAATAAATTTGAAGACCTTGTTCCTCCTCACTTTCTGGCGGCAACAATGATCCGGTTCGATGGCGAATCTGCCCTTGAAACAGTAGATATAGTATAGTTGGTGGCAATTTCAAAATGGGTGAGTATCGTGGTTCTACTGAAATCCAATATACATACATACATACATAGACTTATTTCAAAGGAGACACCTTAAATTTCTTATCAAGGAGCGCAATGGCAATTGCCCCTGGGCAACTCAATCCTGTTGTGTCCGAATGAAGCTTGAAGCAGGTATGGAATTTCAAAATTTTAAAATGTGCCTAATGGTCTTCAAAAATAATGCCGGAAAGAAAATGAAAGTGCTAGAAAATTAAAATTCGTATACCATTAGTTTTACTAAACTAACAGAACTCGTTCTGTATTTAATTGAAAGATTCTCTTTAAAAATGTACGTATGTATATATTCCACATAAGAAGCACTTCTCTAAATGGATAAACATTTTTAACATTTAAAACATAAAAGTGAGTTTATGGGTAACCACGTCGAAATTTGTGGGCGAAAAATTGCAAAAAAATGTGAAACGGGGTTGCCCTACTACTGTTCAATGCATTATTAAAATATATAAAAATTTCCACAGTTTTTACCTCAAAGTGTTTGTAATACATTTCACTATCGAATATACCCATAACAAAATTTACTTTCTTATTGTCAATAAGGGTTTATTACGGCAAGATAAGAGTGCAATTTGTTTTTAAATATGTTGGAAAGTGTATTTTTTCTTACTGCAATAAAACTCCTAATATTTTAATCAGACTAAATCTCCAGAAGCAAACATTTTTATTTTTTTTAAGCTAGATGATTTGTTGAATAACAGCTTTGTTTTATACGCAAAAAACCGGTCTTGTTTAAAAGGGCGGCTCACAAGACCCCTACAATGTCTGGTTTTGTCTGCAACATCAGTGAAATCGCTAATCAACATACATATGTATGTATGTATGGCAAAAGTTTTAAACAATTTAAACGAAATGAGTAGACATGCTAAATAAATATTTATACAAAGCTAATTATATGATGTCATTGTCAAGAGCTTAAATAGTAGATATACTTTGTGCATATGTATGTACATATGTATGTATGTATCGAACTCGAAATGCGCTCAGATATAATTACTTTAAGATATGCTGATATTTCACGACTAAGACACGTTGCTTTCACGGTGAAACCAGTCGGTATATTGTTGTCAAATTCTGATAAACTATTCCCGTAACGAGGCACACTAATAAACAAAATGTTAATCTTTTGCAAAAAAGTAACAAACCAAGCTATTTCAGAATAGTTGATAATGGGTACAATTAATTGTGGCGTTGATTAGATTATAAATACATAGAAACCAACCAGAGTGTCGCACATTTCTCAAGAGGTTATGAAAATAATTATCGAAAATTTTATAAATATGAGATTATACGATAAGACAACAAACAAAAATTTCAATCGATAAAAAAAAATTCTATCACATTTATATCACACTGAAAATTTCGATCGTATAAGAGTTTTTTTTTATGGCTGCCACTTGACAGAATGAAGAATTATTATTGCTTAAAAACTTCCAACGCGTCTGGGGTTAATAAATCTCAGAAGTGCAGAGAAGTGTATAATAGGGCGGGTCGAAAATCTAATTTTTCTCAAATCCCTTGGTAATAGTGAAAATATGTTGCATCATGAAGTCAACAACAATTTTAGTTGTAAGAGCCCGCGCATCGACCGCAAAGTGACCCACAGCACACTAGTCGAATAAGACCAATTCTTGTTAAAAATTCTGGGTTCGGCAAAAAGTTTTGGTGCACATTATTAGATAATGAATCCGTTTACGCAAAATATAAAGTAAAATTTCATTTCTCGCAGCCCTTTAGCTTATCGTTATCCTCAATGTTATCTGTTTTCAATAAAATTTTAATTGTTCTCTTGATAATTGCACAGGCCTATTGTCACAATATGTAAAGAACAGCATTAATGTTACTGGCGTGCATTTAGGTCGCTGGTTCCAAATATTCTAATCTTTTTTCAATATTAGCTATAGTTTGCGAATTTTCGCAAATTTCGGAACAATTTCGGTAGCTCTAATAGAAAAGCCATTATTTTCAATCATCGTGGAAAAATTTTGTTTATGCAAATGAGTATGGAAACACTGAACAGGCACAACTTCTAGAAACACTAATTGGTTTACTTATGTTTATGCATACAATATAAAAATTGCAAATATAAGAAAATGACAAAACAATTTGTTCAAAATTTTTTTTATTTGAAAATAATTTGTTTATAATCTGAACGATTTTAATCATATTATTATCAAAAATCAGTAACATTGAGTCTCGCCTTCAATTTGGTAATTATTCAGTACCGACCGAGTAACATTTACCAAAGTTGTATCGAAAAACTTAAGTGGATCTCCAGTTTTTTTCTAAAAAAATTTCTCTTCAATTGTATAAATAACTTTTAAATGGTAGAACCGGATTCCAGAAAAGTGTTTCAGGGAGTGACTTTTTTCGTTCAAGCTAAATGCAAAGCAATATCGTCCAATTGGAGAGTCCTCAAAAGGATTTCCCAGGATATGTTAAATACTATTGCATTTACCTACAGTCACTTTTTCACATAATGGAATTAACTAAAATATTTAAGTATGTATATCGAAACACTTATTGCACGTCCCCTACTTTCATATAACGGCAGATTTATAAACCGCGAACAATTTTCGACACTGCATAAAGCACTTAAAA